TCCCAGTACCACCAAAGACCCGCCGTGTAGGGCAGCGATGCACATTAAATCTGTCGAAAGCTGAAACATCCTCCCGTTGGTGTGGTGTGGTAGTTAGGAGAGGGGGTGCCAGCTCAGGTGTCGTCCACGTCACTTGACCATGGTTCAAAATTACGTGGTCCGTCGCCAAAAGCCCTCGTGTAGCTGAACAGTGCGACGTTAATATTAACTCACTCACTCACCCACATGCGACGGTATCCAATGGAGACATACTTGTTTCCTCTGACCAAACTTGGCCAATTTGGATAAAACCGAAACTCTTAATTTTTGTTATATTTACAGCATTACTTTCGTATCAAAATATTGGATTATTACTGAATTAATAGATAATAAATAGAAGCACCTAAGTATTCAATGACTATTAGGGATTAAATGATGCAAATCAAAAGAGCTATGATGTTTCAAAAAAGAATAAGGGAAAAACTGGAATGTAGATAAAAAATGTGCAAAAGGTTTTTCAAGCATGAATTCGTATATTGAAGAATTAAAAAAAAAATACAAATGTAAACTGAGACCTTCTTTAGTAACCTCTAAAGAATAAAATTAATTACATCTATAAAAAATTACATTTAATGCTCAAAGCATCTTTAATAAGTTATTTTGATTCAAAATCGACTCTGTTAGGTGCATATGTATGTTACACACATACCGTAATAACATTTAAGATGTAATCATAAACGTCAATTTAAAGGGGAAAAAACCATCACAGAAGTAATGGTTAGTAACCAATGTCACCACTATTTATTGACATTTTGAGATTATTTGTTGCAGTCTTCATAAATCATCTTACAATACCTTTAACATCAATAGCTACTCTTTAAAAATTTTCCCAAGTACAATTTTCGAAGCTCACTCCCATCATCCAATCAAAGCCACTCATAAGAAGTCATGTGCCTGCTATCTCATTGGTTCCTGCCACCGATTTCCACGCCCACCATCACCAGCCAAGGAGCAAAACCAAGCCGATTCTAAAACAAGATAGAGGACTGAGGGATTGACGTATCCCAGTTCCTTATAAAATGTAACCATCTGTAACCATCATACAATATTCAATGCACATAATTGTTTCAAATTTTACTCAAAAACTTTTAAGATAGCTTTCTTTTATTGATCTCCTGGCAAATCTAATTTATAAAAGAATCATCATAGTTCTGTTGCAATGTCTAGAGTAATATAATGTGAAAAATAAACAGTGAAAAAAAGTATTTGATATACTGTGATATTACTTTATGAGCACATGATAAATTCGTATTGATTTTCAAATATTTGGTGTTGATAAAAAATATTAAAAACATTTATAATTCGAGGAACTAACAACTCACAAACAAGGACTCGGAATGCTTCGTTTGCTATCGAAGAAAAAATAAAATGATTCTTCAAATCAGTTAACAATCAGTTAAATATTCTCATTATCGCCAACGTATACTGAAAATTAAACTACTACACAATGCACACTAAATGTTAAATATTAAGAAAAATTTTAGATCTTGTCGATTACCTATACTTGCTGGACAGCATTTAATGAAATTTGGTATTTATATAGGGCAGATATATAATGCAACAAATGCTTATTCAACAGTTAAAATACACACGTATGATCGTGGGTAACACTGAATAAATTCCGAAGGTATTACACTGCAGTTGCAGAATATAATAAAAGAAAATTGGTTAAAATAGGGGTTGTGGTCTCCTTTTTCAGATAAAAGCCTCATACTGTGATTTTATACCGTAAATAAGGGAATTTATAAGTTCATATAGCAATTAAACTCAGTCAGCAACTATGTTTTCAAACCTTGGATGGGTCTCAGAGGGAAGTTAAGACATGAAATTGCCCTCCCCAAAGGGTATCAAGCATGCTGTATCCGAATGAGGTCTGGATATTTAACTGGCCAATCCGTTCGGCAAATATCCTCACTTTCCAGAAATTCAAAGACCAGATGAGCTTTTTGAGTCTCGCGTTGTCATCCATGAAAATAAAAACAGATTCAACTTAACTCAGTGCTTCTCAAGCTTTCAGTATTTGCGACCCAATATTCAACTATAATTTTCATCGCGCCCACCTTCCATACAACTAAAATGTATTTAATTCAATAATACTATACTTTGACGCTAAGGCTACAATACGACTTTAACTTCTTAACTGCCTCCGGCGTATATAAATGTCTCACTCAGCCAAAGCGTTAATTTTCTCGGACGTATATATACGTCTTTCCGAAGTACGATCTTTTCTATGCACTTCCATTCATAAAATTATTCCTATGTTTTTGGAATGCAACAAAAAGGACTTGATTCAGAGGATTTGTTTATTTATTCCTTTTCTCTCCTTCCTCTCCAATACATCACATACACATGCCTGCGTGGGAAACGGTAGCGTTGGGGAGTAAATCACGTGTCTTTTAATCAGCAGTAAATGAATTAATTATAAACCGCTCAAATTATTAAAAGAAGTGGTAATTTTTGTATATAGTTTTATTTATGATAAGCCCATGGGGTCAATGGTTATTATTTAACTTATTCTTAACTTAGTATTCCTAAATTGATTGTAAAATATAGTGTGGCGCACATTTTAAGTGTATTACATCAGTGTAAATGTGTATTTATTTCTTATTATGTCGTAATGCATTTTGTTTGTTTATTTTCAGTGAATTAATAATTTTTTAAAGTGAGCTTTAGTTTTCGACTTTTCAATATGCTTGCCCCGCACAGTTTGAGAAACACGTACTTAACTTGAGAAAAGGCAAAAATAGGGCTCGAAGACCTCATTCCCTAACCTCACAGCAGTCCTACTAATGCATCCGTTATCAAAATGGTCGAGTTTTCCGTCATTGGAGGACTCGTAGCGGGCCCCTAGTTCTCTGCATATAAAAGTACAGCGGAAAAATATGGAGTGAACTAGGAATCTATATTTGACCATTATGATAGCAGGGGCTTGATGGTCTGGACAGGCATCACGTTGGATGGTCACACACCACCATGTATTTGAAAGAGACACTGTGACTGCTGTGAGGCACAGGGAGGAGATCTTGGAGCCCTATGCTTGCCTTTTCACGGGGGCAGTCAGTCTTTTGGATAACAACGTGAGATAGATATCACTCACTTGTTCGACAAATTTCTTGAAAGTGAGGATATTCGCTGGATGGATTGACTAGCCATATTTCCAGACCTCATCCGTATACAGCAGTGGTCTTCAAACTGTGTTCCACGGAACTCTGGAGTTCCACGAGGTATATGCAAGGGTTCCAAGAGTCATAATAAAAATTCAAAAAGGAAATCATAAATATGCACATAAAATGGATTCACTTTTTCTATGGAGTGGATTGAAAATCAATTTCAATATTTTAATGAAAATCAGGATTTATAAGTGACAGAACAAGAGTGAGCGATTGAACTAGCTACAGAATCTACATTAAAATGCAGATATGACAAAGATCTTGAATTTTGGTAACAAATTTACCCAGAATATCCAAAGACTTCTTCAGTTTTGGGGTAAAAAGATACAAACACATACCCCAGAAATTAATTACAATGTGTGCATGTGTTGGTGACACCTGAAGCTCAAATTAATATTATTAATGAGTAAATTATGTTAACATTTTATAATTTTTTAAAAAAAAACAAATACAGTATTTTACTTTAAATGCCTTAACATAAAGTACATATAACTTGTTGATCTACTTTACATATTATTTCTAGATATATTCTAGGACCGTGGGTAGCTTACTGGTTAGAGCACTGGACTCTGGACCGGAAGGCCTGGGTTCAATGCCCGTACCGCCAAATACCCTCCGAGTATACACGGAGTACGTGCTCGTTAAATCAGTGGGCCCGAAAGTCTTGTGGGCTGAATCACGAGTGCAGGGAAATGGAGAAAATTTCCCTCCACTTCAGTTCCAAGACTAAATTGTGGAGGTGGAGATAGATAGTGACGCCATCTATCGTAATGTTCTATCATCCCTTCGGGAATTTCACCGAGCTAAAATCATACTGTCACCTGTATGGTACTCAAGGCTAAGGTCAACGACAGGCGTACATCTAGCCCATTGCCACAATTAATTTCTTGGGCCTCGATCTGACTATGTCAGGCAGATGGTATGAGCAACATCAACAACAACACAACAGTACATGGAATATCTAAACAAACCACTTTATAATTCTAGGGGTTGAGCAAATTAAAAATGTTTGAAGACAATTGCTATAGAGCATGCCTGGGACACTCTAGGGAGAGACAATCGCAACTCCCCTCCGAGAATCATCCAAGGCTTCAAAGCTGAATTGGTGAACGAGTGAGATTTAATCGCCATAACTCATAAATTTCCGGAAAATAAATTTCCGCTTTAAAATCATGATGTCAGACATATTTATATAAAAGAGGGGACCACACCCTCATTTTTTTTAACTAATTTTACTTTAGTATATTCTACAACAGTTGTTTTATATCTTTGGACTTCGATGAGAGTTAAGCATGATCGCACGTGCATATTTTAACTGTTAAGTGATTATTTTTTTCCATTATATCAGCTGTATATAGTGCGTACCAAATTTTGTTAAAATCTGTCAAATAATTCTAATGATCATCGAAAAAATTTAAAAATCTTTGTCTTTAATATAATTATTATATAAACACACACACACACACAAACACACAAGTAATGTAAAAAAATATTTAGGTTAATTCCTACTTAGAAGAGGAATTTTGTTTTAGGTACTTTTTATTAGATATAATACTTATTAGTTATATTTACATGGTTAAACTTAATATAAATATGTATATAAACATATGCCAGAATCACAATATTAAGTGAAAAGATAGAAAGTGATTTTTCTTGCAAGTTACCATTTTTTCTTCTTTCTATATATGGTTTGGACTATTTTTTGTTTGTTTAACACTATTTCTTCATTAAATTTAAGTATTCTATTAAAATTACATAGTGAAAGATAAATTACATTCTCAGAAAATAGGCCATCCCAGGTGGGATTCAAATCCACGACCTTTGGATTAGAAGTCCAAAGCGCTGTTCATTGTGCTACAGGGACACAACGAACGATTTTCCTTTCTATATATGCTTTTGGACTATTATTTTTGTTTGTTACAAATTATTAAATTTTTAATTTAATTAATTAATTTAATTAAAGAATTATTGTTTGAAAAAACTGCATTACCATGAAGTGTCAACCACTTCAAGCTTAAAAAAATGTATTTGAGCTTGAATGGGTGAACAGAAAATATATTACTAACGATTGAAAATTTGATCAATATATATATATAAGGATAATTAAATTAGATTAAAAATTAAATTCCCTATCTAGCACTTGACTCATCTTTCTCAGTGCTCCTCTTCAAGTATCAAACTAATCACCCATTTATTTCTTCCGAACATATGGCCTAGCCAATTAACATGTCTAATTCCAGATCGTTAGATTTAATAGTCAACATATGTCAGCATTAACTTGCAAGCACCCTCTTCAAAGCAGCGATACTTACCATATGTTTTTCAAGTGTTATCCACTTGAAACCACCACCATGGCGTGCTTTTTCCTCCCTGCTCTCGGTGTCAGAACAGATGTACAAATGAAAGAATAAAGGTCGTCTTTTCACTTTTCTAACTTTAATCTGATTCTGTCTTAAAAATCATGACAGAATTAAAGCCGGCAGGATTTTTTATCTCTGCGAATGGATTTCAAATGTTAACGTAAAAAACTAATCTTTTTTATAAAATAATTTTAATATAAAAAAAACGCCAACTGCGGTAATAAATGAAATGGAGAATTTGACGGAACACCGAATGCACCGTATGTCTATATATGAAGACGTCGGATTGCCGGAATAAAAAAATGATACGAAAAAAAACCGCACTAATAATCCTCGGAAGAACATCGCTCTTAACACCGAGAAGAATGCAGTGTTTACCGCCGAACGATATTATGTCTTTGCTGAAGAGGCCATCCAGTTTACCGTGAATGGAAGAGACATTCTAATGGAGGGGGAAAAAAAAGAGAAGTGTGAATCCTTTATTTCCCCGTGATGAAAGACGTCACTCCCTTTCGCCAGAAAAATAAAAGGAAATAATCTTCTTCGCCGGAAAGTCTGCACGGTAATATTGTGAATTTGACCACCATATAATAATAGTGAAGTACCAACATTGAAAGAAAAATAAATAAATTAAATTTTACTAGTTAAATAACGTGACAACAGCATCTGGATTAATGTTCACCAAGGAGTTCTGCCGTTGCAAAGTGGAGGTCATTTAAATTGTATATTTCCAATCTTAGTAATATTGAAGAACTGAGTTTTGCTGAACAGAACTTTACGAAAAAGAATAATATATGATATGATATGGTATTTAATTTTTATAATATAGTTGTATTATAAATGAGATATTTTCTTTATATTTTAAATGAGAAAACAAAGTATATAGGTTCAGTCATACAAAATTTTGAGAAATTTTAATATACTTCTCATAATTTTATCTTAAGATGTCGAATGAGTTAAGAGTTATGATATAAATTGGTGTTTTAAAGTGAAAGATATAAATTAAGTTTTTAGAAAAATGACTAATGAGAGAACTAATACTAGAGATATTGATTTTTATAAGAAACAAAAAAGTAATGTCAAGTTGTATTCCTTTTCTCCATTGAATTCAATTGTTTTGTTAATTATTTTATTCAGCAGTAATCTTATTGCATGTCATTTAATTTTTTTTAATTTTGAAATTGTGTGTTTTGATATACCGGCCATATATCAGGATTCACTATTTCTCGAAATTTTCCTTATCTAAAATTAAAATTAATTTAATAACTTGAAGCTTATTTTTGGATATTACACAATGGATAAGCGAGAATACAATCATTATAATTTTGTATATGTCTCGAAACATTAAGAGGACAAACTTGTTTAGTTTGATATGTACACCTCTCATTGTTTCTTATCAGCATCCCTGAACATCTGTGAGTTGATGACGCAGATTTCTCAGAGAGATATGTTCAAAATTAAGTAAGGTGATACAGTTTTATTAGTGAATGTGTGATGCAAGAGAAACTCAAGAATTTTTGTCTATGAAACGTATTTTTAGAATGTTACGGAAAGATTCAAAATATTGCATGCGATATTAAGTTACAATGAATATTGTGAACAATTTTCAGAAATACTAAAAGTTATTATTGAAGTGAGTCCACTTTTCCTACTCAAAATAATAAAAAAGATCTCTTATATTCTTATATTCTTATAATTTTTATATTTTATATCGCATATGAAATAAAACATTGTTTATTGTGTTGGATAGTGCATAGAAGTTGTGTGTTATACACCGTTTTCATATTATTAATAATTTCATTTTATTAGTGTCTATATTTTTTTTATTTTTCTTTTAAAAAATGTATTTCATATATGCAAAACGTGTGTAACAATATAAGGTATTACTACGATGGCGCCAGAGTAGATTTTTATACAAAATTATTATTTTAATATTTGTATGATTTCATGTATTTTTATATTTACTATCTTATTCTTTGATATATTATTTTCCAACATAATTTTTTTGAAAATATCTACCAGCTATAATACGAATCTATTATTATGAAGGAATAGGAGGAAACGCGAGCTCTTATTCTAGATGTCGAATATATTTGAACAAGCTAATCTTCATTTATATGTATGGAAATTCATTTTTATCAATTAATATGTTGGAAGTGTCCTTACTGTGTTTGTTGTTATAGTTTCGTTTATTGTATTGCGCTTTTTGATTTTAGTATTACTATTGCTTAAATATTTCTACTGTGTTTAATATGTCTTTCTATATAATGTTATGTATTGTTTTGTGTTTATTGAAAATTGATTAAGTTTTTAAAGAGAGAAAAAAAACCACGCCATGAATCCCTTTTAAAATTGGGGGGCAAATGTAAGGATAATTAAATTAGATTAAAAATTAAATTCCCTATCTAGCACTTGACTCATCTTTCTCAGGTCCCATCTTCAAGTATCAAACTAATCACCCATTTATTTCTTCCGAACATATGGCTTAGCCAATTAACATGTCTAATTCCAGATCGTTAGATTTAATAGTCAACATATGTCGGCATTAACTTGCAAGCACCCTCTTCAAAGCAGCGATACTTACCATTTGTTTTTCAAGTGTTACCCACTTGAAACCACCACCATGGTGTGCTTTTTCCTCCCTGCTCTCGGTGTCAGAACAGATGTACAAATGAAAGAATAAAGGTCGTCTTTTCACTTTTCTAACTTTAATCTGATTCTGTCTTAAAAATCATGACATATATATATATATATATATATATATATATATATATATATATATGTGTGTGTGTGTGTGTGTGTGTGTAATGATTCTCTTAGTATCCTTTTGTTAACTCTTTGTATTAACACTTAAATAAACTTTAATTCTTTAGTTTAAAAATAAAATGTAATCTTGATTGTAATCGGCTAGTCCGAAATCCCTGGCCTGCCCATTATATCCAATCAGAACTACTATTACGTAATAACCACTGCCGGAATAAAAACAAAACTCTTGTGTAATCGCTCTCTTTTTGTCTGCTTGCCTTCATCATGTAAGAATGTAATTAACTGCATCTGTTTGTCTTTGTGTCCTCCAACATGCCGCTGCTTATTCAGTGGGAAAATGTACAACAATTGTGTTTTAATCTGCTGTGTGTGTGATGTGAGCTTCATAATTAAGGATGTAACGTTATTCGGAAGATGTATTCCATGAAACAGATATGACAACCAACACCGGCCAACGCTACTACAATACTTAACACACACACACACATACACACACACACACACATATATATATATATATATATATATATATATATATATATATATATATGTTTATATTTATATATATATATATATATATATATATATATATATATATATATATATATATATATATGAGAGAGTGAACTAATAGTAGGAATTGAAAAAAATGAATTGAATTCTATAAAATTCTATTGAAAATTGGATAAAAAAGTAATCACCTCTTGTACGGTATTATAGTGATTGTTCATTAACGTAACGCAAAAGCTATTTTGAGCAGAAAAATGCCTGTGCTGCCACTCTTTCCATCCAAATGCCACATCTTGCCAGTGTTGGTTCTGCAGCGGTGCCTTCTTCTTCAATTAAACAACAAAAGACACGAATAAGAAAAAGCTCTTACTGACTGGCCCGAATAAGGATTCATTTTGTCTCAGTTGTCTAAGGCATGCAAAGCACGCACTTCAGACCCAAAAGTGACCAATTCAAATAACACAACATCCAAGTACCACTCAAGGTCACCATGGTTCTTCCTCCCTTCCTTCAACAACAGTCTGTTGTCGATATGATGACCCAGGAATTGAACACCAGATGGCAGCACAGTGTAACGATACTGGTTGATTATGCATTCATTTCATAGAGAGTCAAAGATACTCTCAATAAATCACGACTAGTGATTAAAAAACGTGAATGGTGCACATTTCACCCGCCATCTCAACAAAAGAATGCCCGCAAAGTCAGCGGAAAAATGTTCTAACTGGAGATGCTTAACTATTGCAGTAATTGGCTGAAAAAACAACCTTATCAGTTATATTGTTCAGAAAGTCAAGCAAAGAAAAACAGCTCTCTTCTATAGGAAAGGGTTATACAGTAGCGCCTCAATCTGCAAATCTCAACAAAGGACAAGAACAAAAAAAAACTTTTAACGACTGACATGAATATGGTTTCTTTCGTCTCAGTTGTCTAAGGCATGCACGATGTAGCTACGCACCTTAAGGTAAGTCGATAAAATAAACACCCCTGTGAAGGTCAGCAACTTATTGTTGAAGGTCTTTAAGACTCAAGAAATTTAGCTTGTATCGTCCATTTACCGGATAGGCTTTTAAAAATATCAAGATTTAAAACTATATTTCGACAGAAAAAAATTGGCAATGAGCTCACAATTCTGATCACTTCTCTACCACAGTTGTTTTATCTTGCTTTTCCGGTTACCGATTTTCCTGGAGCTTATCGGATAATCCCGCGATCTAAAGATCTATTC